CTTCTCTTCTCAGACACAATTCATTTTAATTCCCCCAATTACCTCCTCCAATCATCTAATTTTTTCTCAAAGCCGGTGTCTACCTCCGTGTTCACCATCCTACTGACACCTTGATTTCTTCCATCGCGAGTACCAGCTAGTAACTGAAAATTCGATTCCTTTCTTTTATTCACTGCTCTTGTACAAGTTACCACTTCCCTAACAGCAACGATCCATCTATCTTCCAACACTGAGAAATCGATGGCGGAATACCCCAGCAGCCAAATTACCGTTGCAGGAGATTTCAATGTCCACAACAAGGAACGGCTGAAGCATCCATCAGACGCTTGATCCATGGGACACGAAATCTACGCGTTTTGTGGTCAACAACTTGAGTTAACTATCTGACTTGCCCACACGCATCCCCGATCGTATTGGTGACCACCGCCACATCATTGACCTCGTTCTCACATTCATTCTCTCTTCTTCCACCAGCATCACTTCCCTCTCCTCTCTTGGCTCATCGAACGATCAACTCACTTATTTCTCTCGCCTCACTTCACCAACTAGCCCCAGAAACGACTTTTGGCGTTGCAACTCAGCCAACGGGGATAGTTTTCGTGACTTTCTGGCGTTTTATCCTCGGAATGAGTGTTGTCTCCAGTCTGATGTTCCAAACTTCACTGAGATTGCCCCTCAAGGCATATCTTTGTTTCCCACTCTTTTCTAAATACGGTAAACCACGATCCCCTGATCGATTTAATCACACTTGCAACCATGCTGTACGTTTCTAAGCCTCAGCAGATCGTCTTCCACACCGCCCACCCGACCCAGAAACTAATTGCTCACCATCCCGGGCATTTTGTTCACCACAAAACTGGCTTCGTCTGACGCCGGTAACTGAATATCCTTGTCCATTGTCAAAGCGGTCCTAAACGATTATTGACCACCCGAAATTCCTCCCATTTATAATTCCTCTGGCTTGATGATTTGTGAATCCCACGAAAAGGTAGAAGTCTTTGCTTGCCTGTGTGCTTCCATCTTCACCTTATCCGACAACGGTATTCTTCAGTCGTTCTACGACATATTCAGCTACTTATTTCTACCTATCATAACAAACAGAAAGATCCATCAAAATGCTTCGTGGTTTGGATGTTTGTAAACCACCCGGTCCGGATGGAATTAGAAACATCATCTTAAAAATGGATGCCTTGTGGTTGGCCACTAATCTACCCCACCATTTTTTTCCATCCTTTGATCAGAAATCTTTCCCCGCTCCGTGGAAAAATGTCATTATTTTCCCTATCGCAAAGCGACTCTTCTGATCCCAAATCCGTCTTTCCGTTACCCGTCCTTGTTATTCCGACCCAATGCGTGCGTCTTTCAGGCACGGTTTTCACTCTCATGGGACTTACTGGCTCTCGGATCATATTCCTGGCCACTCGCACTCGATAACCACGAAGAAACTCAGCTGATCTTGCTTAACATCCTAAATACCCCATCACCCTCCAGACCACTACCAACATTGACCACTGAGGTGCATCTTGTCTCCCATCTAGGACTCGTCTCCGCAGGGGGACCTACCAACCATGCTCGTTCAATGCTTCCAAAACATTTTTCCTTCAATCCCTCCTAAACATTATCCTCATTCTTCCCAATGGATTTTGATTCACTCCCTCTCGTCCCACAGTTCCCGTCTCCCCTGGGTTTATCCGTGAACTTCTGCTGATCTCCTTATGATGCTCGCTAGTTTTATATTCCACAACAGACGCTCCTTTACACCCAATCACCCTTTGTACAAAGCTCAAATCCACTTAATGCTCGAATACTGCAGTCAAATATGGGCTGGAGCTTCGTATTCTGCCCTCTCTTCTTGGAGGTGTTCAGTGTAAGGTCATGAGTTTCAGTTCAGTTTGAACAACCATTAACCATGCACTTTCGTGCGCCGGTTTTGGTTGCTGTCTTTTGGCTGCCCATTGGGATGAAGAATAGAGTTGAAAGTGGATTCGAAAAGAAAATGGAGAAGTTCAGTGGACTAAGGTTGCAAAGAAAGTGAGGAGATGCACGAACGCCACTGTTTAAACCAAGGTTGCAAAGAAATTGAGGAGATGGACGAACGCCACTGTTTACGACACCCAGCCATATCGCTCAGTGTCTCTAACCATCGGTTACGATCATCCCGAGGTCCCCAACCAGGGAGCCTAACAGGACCTATGCGACCCAGTTTCCTGGTTAGGGTTTTCATACCCTCGTGCCAGGTGTTAACTTGATCACCCTTGGCTTTTTTCCACTCTGTCATGAGACTGATCAACGAAACGTCCTCTACTTCAAATCTAGTCACTTTCTCATCGACGGCAGTTGCTCTGTTATCTCTTTCCACCATCAGTTTTTTCTGTACTCTTGAACTCGCTTCAGAGGTCCCCCCCTTTCCTTGTACTTTTCTCGTTCAGCTGGTTCTTAACCAGGCCGTCGCCCTATTCAGGTTTGTTCGCAGTTAGTTGAGTCCCCCTTTTCCCCCAGGACTGAAACAGTGGAATACTCCATTTCTGGATTTCCAACCAAGTCTCTTCAATAACGGGATCAACAAACTGGACCTCACCCGAATGTTCCCTCCCACATGCTTCCCGCTTCACCGTAGGTTTTTGACTATGGGGTTTACCTCTTTCGCAATAAAAAAATGTATTACCCCATTTGTACAAACCCAATGTGCTGGTTTGTAACCATCGCACAGGCCTACGAGACATCCCAAAACAAGTGCGCCCATTGGCAATTTCCAAAACGATCAAGCCACTGCATTAAAAATTCTTCTCTATTCACATCTATATTATACCAACTTCGGCTGTTCATCATACACTCCGATCACGTGTGACCGTAAACTGGAATGATTTCACTGTCATTTTAAGATCTATTGTTGGTGCTACAACACCCGCGGTCTTTTTCATCAAAGAAATAGTAACACGAAAACCACTTCAGAGCGTGCGCAATTACCCCAGAACCGTTGGTGCTAACAAGTCCATCCGGAGGTTGTGTTCCACACGCGTCACCGTTCCTCGAATTCCCCAGGGGGTATCTAGCTGTATGTCCTCATTTTCAGTAAATCTGATGAGTTCTAGTTCCCTTCGGGAATTAAATTCTTTTTTTGCATCCAATCCATATCCATTTATCGATTCATCTTGACGTGATTCGAACCCTTACCCGGATGAGCGAGGTCAATTACCGTCGGGTTTGTTCATCCGCGTCCAAGGCTCACTCAACCAGTAGTCAAACTCCACTCCATCGAGACTTTCATCCTCCCTAGATAACTCACCCAATAAGCACTTTTTCGTCAATGAAGAAATCCTTTCTTTCCGAGTGGACGGATTTTGATAAACCCGGTTCAATCAGTGACGTGACAACTGAAGCACTAATCACTTTGTGGGGTTCACAGTAGAATGCGACGGAATGCATTCACTTGGAGTTGAATAGATACAGAACCTACGGTAACAGAGAAACAAACAACAGCGCGCCTGTGCCTGGTCGTCAAGCTGACTCCACTTCACCCGGTACAACTTCATCAGTCATACTCAGAGTTCTATTAGCTCCCAAATCGATAGTCACTGTTAGTGCTCGCTTGTGTCGCAGAACTCACCTTCCATAGGAGAAAGGGTCCCTCAAAGCACAAAAAGACGAAGATATAATTGAGTTACACCCGGGAAAATCACATACATACAAACGACCGCTAGCAAACATATTGCCTAGAAATGGCAGCTCAGCTGTGTCACTCGGTGCCATCACATTGTGCTGGCAAGCCACGGGCAGAGAAAACATGGAAACTTGGCCAGTGGGTTGTGCTGCAGTTCAGTTGATTCGACTCCTCAATCACGGATATTTCGAGGCACGAACACATTGAACAATGGTAACCGGCAACCTGCACCTCGCGACGTGACACCGGGAAACATGACCGCAGTGGGATAGAGCGGCGATCGGAAACGGCCTCAATAAAATTCAGTGTACTGTTTACAGAATAATTTCGTTCCTTTTCCGACTCACACGTAGAAACGCACAGTCAAACCATAAAAGACAGCACCGGCGTGCCGCATAACAGATGTAAGTTCACCGTCAAGTGTCACTAACGGTTCAGTCCACTCTACTCAATGGCATTCTAACTGATTTTAATCAGAATTAGTGAAAGACAAGTATCGCACTTATACCGAAACCTGGAAAGTGACACACTAATCGTGAACACTGATAACGGGAATATGTTAACAGTAGAGCTAGTAGAGTGGTAGAGTTAGGGGAAATGCAATATTTGAACTGAACATTTCTCCTTTTCCACCTTCACGTACATCCATCAGTTCATTCAGCTAATACACTCGGGGGCACCAGTTTTGAGTTTCGCTTCCATTGGGGTTCATCAACCGTCTCACTCGGGTTTTCAAATCCGGATTCATCGCATCAAAACGTGTCATGGCTGCGCCAACATACTTATTTAGGTCATCTTCAGGGACAGTCATTTCTCTTGTCTTGATGGCAAGGAAAGGAGACAGCATACTGTCTGTCAAATCGTCGGAAGCCCATCATCAATTGGTACACCGTGAAGGTCAAAACAATTACATTTATCCCACACCCCGACTCCCAGGTTACTGAGTGAAATGCGAATGGACGACAAGAGTAACTGGTAAAGCCGTTGTACACCTCAACCTCGCTGACATCTGATCTTCCTCAGTACGGCTAACGGCGTAGCAACCTTAGCCGCAACCGATCGCGGGATTTTATCCTTTCATACTCGGTTATACGTGGTAACCTTCAATGCTTGTTACAAGTGGAAAGGCGCTTGTAACAAGATTATCGAACCACTGTTTGCACAAATTGAAGTATAATTGCCTCGCGTTTACGCAAAAATCACACTACGCACAACGCCCGTTTATCACAATAGTTACGTTAAATGAAAACCGCGCACTCCCAGATATCAGATTTGCCCCAATGACCAAACTTTGAAAACAAAGAAACAAGATCAACCGCGGATATTTATTTCACCATACTTAACCGGACTTGACAGGCTTCGGAGGACCGGAGCGGAAACCATGTCTAAATCGCCTGTGGACACTTTTCAGGTGCAGCATTCTGCCAGTACCTGTTGTGCGTCGACGACGTGCTTTCTCTGACCAGTTATAGCCACGCATCCGAGCACTGGGGTACCCACAAGAAGCACATTTCTTCTTTTGAATGTGGAATGCTCTTCGACCACAGCGGCGACACTGGGTGTGGGTTTTGTTCAACCGTTTACCGAACGATGTAGTACCCTTCGTCATTGTAGACTGAAAAACGAAACCAAGGGACAGATGTACACAAAGCTGGAATACAAAAGGGGGCAAGCCAAACATATCGCAACGTATTTATCTGAAATAGCTGGATGATCACAAGCATACATTTATTTCATCAATCCGCCTAGTTTAACTGCTCGTTCAGACTAATGAAGTGACGTTCCGAGTTTTAGGCAAGTTACTGAACGATAGCTGTCGATTTCACGTTTGCCTCTGGTACTGAACACAATGCAACTCCCATGCATCTTACGCACTTTCAATTACGGTTAAACCGGATGTATCCGGTGGTGAATAAACATCCCAAGCCGCGGGGTCGTCAACAATCCGACATTACCACGGGTTATGATTGTGGTGGAGACCCTACTCAATTGAGTGAAGTGTAACCTATGACTGCAATGAACTACTAGCGAGAACGAGGATCACCGGAATGAGATGAGCAAGCGATGAATTATGTCGTTCAAAAAGGGAATCCCATTCGAGTGCAAATCCAAACAAAAAGAAGCTCGGTTGGGATTGCGTTGGATGCGATAACCTGACCATCGTTATCTAGTGATAAACACCTGATAAAAGTGAAATTCGCTCAACAAGGGATATCTATCCACAATAGAAACAATGAAACCAGTGGTATTTCAGCATCCATCAGTTCGCCGGAAACTAGAAATTATCCTGACAAGGACGTTGGAACCCTTTTCAGTATTCACGCAGCAGCATAAAGCAGTTTCGCTCTTGCGATAGAATTTAATACTAGTTCGCACTTAAACTAAACGATAGTGTAATAAGACTTATCGCAGGTACACAATCACAAGTTGGCTACGCATCCGAACTAGCTAACTCCGATCTTTGAAGATACTATTGAAAGACACCCAACCTGTACTACCGTGGCCAGAAGTGAAAAATGGAAAGACACTTGAATCACCGTTCGCCTCCAAAAAATCCAACGAAAAAAGGACCGCAAATTAGGGCCGAGACGAGCTGGGCGTCATATGATCACTTAAACGTGCCATTTTTGACGTTTGATAAAGAGGTAGAGGGTCCAAAGACCGGTGCCCGAATGTTTTGACATTCTAAAAATCTAGGCTCTGCTACAAAGAGATGTTCAGGAACCGAAAAAAAATCTGGTTATACAGAACGTCGGCAACGAACTGACGAACCTGTGAATAAACTACCAGAGCAGGAGTATTCACGTCGCGCAGTAAAATTTTAAAGACATTCAGGATGAATATCATATGGAGTGATTTCCAGATATTATCATCCGCAGGTCTTCACGATCAACACGCTGGACCGATGGGCACAACCTAACTGAACAAAATCAAGATGTCGACATGGTTATAAGCTAACAAACCTAACCGCAAAACCACCTCCCCTCCTTCCTTCGCCTCTAGGCTTCTCTCTTCACTATCCATTTGTATATATTTGCCTCCTCTCACTGGTGATGAGCACCCAAATTTTCCAACAGCATACCGTATCAAAAACAAACAGGATAATCAAGATCCAGAAACTGCGCTGGGTCTTAACCGGTGAACTACTCAGGACTTAAAGACGTACCTCTCATAGCTTAAAAATTGCGATACAGCAAACTGGGGCCTCATGCAACAAGCCCAAAACATAACTGACACTGAACGCAAGGGAGAAACGTACCCGCCACGCCGAATTGCAGGGCCCGCTGGAAGTGTCGTTTAAACAACAGAATAAGTTCAATAAAAAATTCAAAATTCAAATTTTTAAGTCAAGTTAAATTTCGAATTTCAAAATGCAGGACGTAAGGAGGCCTACGCCTGTGAGGTGTTCTGGTAGTAGCGTATTATGTCCTGGGACTGACTCGCCTGCGAGTTCGTATTTAGTTCAGTTCAGTTCAGTTCCAGGACGTTGACGGCGGTGTGCCAGTTAGTCCAGTTTCTTGCAGCTGTGAGCTCCAGGGATACCCCAATGCTGTGACAGATGGAAGAGGGAGATGAAGAGGAGAACCCCTGCTTGAAATGGATCTGCCCCAACTGCGTGCAAAGATGTAGGCTGTTGGCAACCCGGGAGATTCGGAAAACTCGTGAATCCATCGACAGCTCCACGATTGTTGCCGAGGTCACGGTACTGGAGAAGCGGGGAGTTACCCAGGACCAGGATTTCTATAAGGAGCTGACTAGTATTAACGAAAAAATAGAACAAGTTCGCGGCACGAGAGAGCTGAAACAAAAGACCGAATGGGTTAAAAAGGCTCTGAAGGGGCTCGCTAAACAGTCGAACGTAGCCACCGGCAGAAACCGGAATGTATTAATCAAGGGGGTGCCAGAACCGTTCCACCCAGAGGCCAAAAAGAGAGACAGAGAAAATCGGCACCACTTAATTAATCTTTTAAGTGTGGCTGACATTCCGGGACATGTCACCATT